ACTTTCATCTCCATTCCTCCTTTCTTATCCCCTCTCCTTCTCACCCTCCACCTCCACCTCCTCCACCTTCTCCTCCTCTACCTCCTCCTCTCTTATCCCCCCCCCCTACCTCTAGCCGCAGGTGTTAATGCCTCGATCGCTACCCAGAACGAGGCGACGGAAAACACAACATAAGCCGGCTGATGGATAGAGACGGATAGCGCAACGTTGTAATTGAGTTTCGGAATTTCTTCTTCGATCAAAACTTAGACGTCGTGTTTGTCTGCGTCGAGCGATGGAGAACAAGACGAGTGGAAAAAAAGTGGAGGAGAGACAAAAAAAAATATATATATATATGATATTGGTTATAAGAATGATGATAACGATGATGGTTATACTAGCGTTGTTGTTGCTGCTACTGGTACTATTAAGGTAATAATAAAGATAATATCAATATTCATAATCAAGACGTGTCACTCCCAGCGTTGTCCAGGTCCGACCCGATCAAAGCTGACAAATACACGGACACAAAGTTGCTGAAATTAACAAAGGTCAACAAACGAGACTCTTCCTCTCCTCTACCCCACTCCCCCCGCCTCTTCCCTCCACTGTCACCTTTCCCCTTCCCCTCCCCTTCCCTCCCTCCTTTCCTTTACCCTTGCCCCTACCCTTCCCTTCCCCCCTCCCTTCCTTCCCCACACCCTTCCCCCCCCCCCCCCTCGACACGCAGGAGTGGCCTCTTCATCCTACGCTTCCGGGTGAACTTGCAAGAATGAAAACCAAAGAAGTGACACACTACCGGGAGAGGCGGGATGGTGAGAGCGCGCGAGAGTGAGAGTCGGAAGAGTGAGAGGGAAATAGAGTGAGAGTGCGGCCGAGTGGGTGTGATGAAACCAGAGGAGAGGGAGGAGAGGGCGATGGGACCGCGAGGGAGTGAGTTAGTATGCTGAAAGAGAGAGAGAGAGAGAGAGAGGGGGGGGGAGAGAGAGAGAGAGAGAGAGAGAGAGAGAGAGAGAGAGAGAGAGAGAGAGAGAGAGAGAGAGAGAGAGAGAGAGGGAGAGAGGGAGAGAGATAGATAGATAGATAGATAGATAGATAGATAGAGAGAGAGGCAGGCAATGAACAAGATAAGCTGGATAAGATGGGAGACGGCACGAGACAGTAAGAGACGGATAATAAGAACAACGAGAGAGAGGTTGAAAATCTGATATTATACGAAAGAAGGAAAAGGGAAGACACTGGCAATCCAGCAAAAACCAAGCACTAGGAAACATTTTGAAAAATCCAAAATAAAGATACCCAGCCCACCGAACCCGCAAGAAAGTGACCCTAAGACTGGCCTCCACCTGTTCAAGACACGTTCAAGGTCAGAGTGAAATGAAGGAAGGTCAGGGCGTGACAAAGATCAATACCTAATGACCGCCGGGGCGCCCTCTGGGGGAGGAAGCGCCCTTTAAAACTGCTACTCGCCGGCGATTGCGACTTTTTTCGTTTTTTTTCTAACTTTATCTCGTGATTATTTCTGAATTATTTTTGCTGCCCTCTTTTTTATGATTTTTACCTGTTCTCTCTGTGCTTATTTGATTTTCACTTGTGTTTAGGTCTTACTCTCTTTTGATTTTGATTTTTTTTCCTTCGTTTTATACACTTTTCATTCGCTTTGATTTCATTTTACTCTTCTATTTACTTCCTTTTTAATTTTCAATTAATTTCATTACTTTTCTTTTTTTTTGCTAAAATCACGAGACTAGAACTAACCTTAACTAATATCCGATGTCAAATCAAGTCAAGCCAAACGAAGATAAACCAAGTTAGTCTTGACCCCAACATTTCAACCCCCCATCATGTCTCCCCTCCTCTCCCCCCCCACCCCCTCCCCCATCCCAGCAATACGCCACATGGCCACAACGCGACGAGAAAGAACAAATTACGGGATCCTCTCGTGTGCGTGTGCGTGTGTGTGTGTGTGTGCATGCGTGTGTTGTGTGTGTACATATGTGTGTATATGTGTGTGTGTGTGTTGTGTGTGTGTGTGTGTGTGTGTGTGTGTGTGTGTGTGTGTGTGTGTGTGTGTGTGTGTGTGTGTGTGTGTGTGTGTGCGTGTGTGTGCGTGCGTGTGTATGTGGCCTAGCGTCGCTCCAACCGGCCTTATTAAAGTAGACGCTCTCCTGTACAGCATCCGCTTAGGCCCGCCACGCCCCCTCGCCCTTACTATCCTCACTCCTCTTCCCTCTGCCCCTCTTCCTTCCCTTCTACTCTTCTCTCTTTCCTCCTCCCCCTTCTTTCAATCTTCCCCCTCATCCCTTCTCCTTTTACTTATCCCCTTCTCTCCTTCTTCTTCCTTCACCCTTCTCCCCTCCCCTCCCTTTCCCCTTCCTCCACCTTGCTTCACCCTCCTCCTCCTCCTCCTTCTCCTTCACCCTCCTCCCCCTCCCCCTCCTCCTTCTCCCTCTCCCCCCTCCTTCCTCCTCCTCCTCCTTCTCCCCCCTGCTTCCTCCCTCTCCCTTCCCCCTCCTCCCTC